GACACCATGCGGCGGCCCTGTATTCTCCTCGTTTCCCCATGAAGGATACCGGTACCAACCAAAGTTCCACATCAACACAACCATCGCTTAAACCATATCGGTCTATGCCGTATAGTCTCCACGATCTATTGTTGTTTACCTAATAAGTGCCCCCAGATCCGGGTGTAGGATCTTTAATAATACCCAAACAAAACCCTTAAATTTAAAGCATGCAAGGAAAAACAAGAAAGCAATTTTAAAATGACCTAGATCCTAAGGTAAACCCCACTTTATATTCCCCAGCAGAGTCACCAGTTCTGTGATACGGTGGCATAACCGACTGTTAATATTGGTTTGCATTTTGCGTTTTTTGTTTGCAAAATGTCGCGGTAAGTAAGAGTCGCCACCAACTTTTATTTCATCCAATCATGGAAAAGTAAAAAGAACAGAAAAAACTTTTTTTCGAGATTTCTGAGTACGGGGGGGGGGGTAGATTATAGAAAGGTAAGGTGTTAGCACCCTTTCTATCCATGGTTTTCCATGGGCTCTTAGGTACTTGCTCATTTTTTCAAATTGCTTGTGCGTGCTTGTTTTGAAAAATGTTTTACTTCGTGATAACCCTTGTATCAGTCCTCAAGTATGTGACGAAGTTTGTTTTGAAAATTTGTTTTGAAAGGTGTTTGTTTGAAAAGTTTTTATTGAGCAAGTACTTAAGATTCTACCTACTCGAAAAAAGATTGTTTGTTCTTGTTTCCTTTAGACAACATTATCCCACTATTAAGGAGTAGGCAGCACCGTTGTTGGAGTTTGTAAGGGACATTCGAAAGGGACAAGTACAGTCATTAAAGCAATGGGTTGGAAACTTTAGTAGTAACCCTAGAGTCTTAAGATCTTTCTGAGGCAACATTTCTGAGGCAACATTCAAATGGGACAATTTGATCTTTTAGACTGAAGGGCAACCACTAAAACCCCCTATGCTTAATGATTGTTTTACCGAAGGTAACCGAAGTGGGATAAACCCTAGGAGTGAATATGTGCATATGAATTGTTTCAGTTATTTAATCTTTGCACATTAGGTGATCTACCGTTTTAATTTCAAGTAATCTTCTCATACAATCCTATTAGCATACATCTAGACAGTTAAATATTTGCAGGAATTTAAAGTACGAAAAATAAACCTAACTATTAGAAGGCTTTGACAGTTACATAATTGTCTTGACGAAAAATAAAAACGCGGAAGCTTAAAACCCTAATTAAAACTATTACATCCTCGAAACAGTTACAATAATAATAAAACAAACTGAAATGCGCGCGGCAAATTAAATGCGAGGAGAAATTGAAACCCTAAAAATGTAATTGAAAAAAAATATTTGAACTAATTCTTGAGAAAAGACTTAATTAGGTTATGTACGACTAAAACCTTAATTCTAATTATTTTTAATTATAAAAGAAATTGAAATTAACCTAATTTAAACTAAATTAAATAATTCAAGAAAATAAAGTATTTTATAAAAAAAGATTTTATGAATTTTTGTGGTTTTTTATTTGAGAAAAGAAACAATTTAATTACAAAATTTGAAACCTAATTTATATTAAATTTTAATTATGAAAAAGAAATTAAACTTACCTAACTTACTAATTACATTAAATAAATATTTTATAAAAAAAGCTCTTTTTTGTGATTTGTTGATTTTATGGTGAATTAAAAAAAACAATTAATTTTTAGTGAAAAATAATTAAACACATTAATTAAAATAAAGGAAATAAAAGAATAAATAAAAAAATGAATTAAGAAAGGGCCTGTATGTTGTTAGCAATTGGAGGGTGTGATTCTGAATTTCCAGGCCCAATAGCCCGTCAAGCCCAGTCAACGTATGGTTTCTTGTGGTGTTGACCTGGGGGTGTATCATAGTCTCTCGTTGCTTATGCATTAGATCTGAGACCATGCTTGATCAAATGGCTGGATGTTGGTGATGTATGGTAGACACCTGGATAAGAGTTGCGCATCATCTGTTGAGAGAAAATAAAATAAAGGGAAACGCTGGGACCTGGGATTGAACCCAGGTCCTTATGCTTGCCAACAACACATCTTTGCCTGTTGGGCTATGCTGGTTAGTTGTCAAAGAAATAAGCATAATGTATAATATATCAAAACAAATTCTAAGAGGTTGAAACAAAAATCACGCGCGTTATTTTCAAATGAGCCAATAGGGTGATGCCAAATCACCTTCTTCTACCTCTAGCCTGTCGTCTTATGTATATGACCTATACCTACAGACATGGTCCGTTGCTACAACTTGTGTATTTCAAACATCAAAAATATGCATGATAAATAATTTCAAAGACCAGGGGTCGATTGGTCTTGATGTGACGGTCATCCCAGTATCCAGCTCGTGATCTAATTTTGTCTGTAGCCAAAAACCCCAAAATGCATATGGAAACCCTAACAATGGCAAGTACAGATATATGCTTCAAAAATGCAATTAAACTATTCAGTTAGCTTGCAAACACGATAAAGATCACAAATATGCCAATCAAATGTATTAACAATGCAGGAAATTCAATAATCAATTTGAAAAAATAAGCAAACCGTGAGAGCTGTAGTGCGCGATTCTGGACGTTTCAGGTCTTGCAAATGCTTGCTACAGGTTCAGTGAGTATCTAGGGAGATGAATTGATCTTTTGAAACGCTTGAAACGACCAATGGAACAAGATTGAATTTGCACTTTTCTTTCAAAAATTGAAACTTTGTTCTTCCTGTTCACGCCTGCAAAACCTTGTCTCATGCTTTGTACATGTCCAATATATATCTAGGAATGAATTAAGGTTGTGAAATTGGATTGAATCTTTGCAATTATGAGAGATTTGATTTGATTTCCATGCTACATGTAAACTTGCTATTTTGAGCCAAATCATCCCCTTCTTGTACCAATTATACTTGATTCGTTTTGGTCTTGATAACTTAGCATATTTTGATTGCCAACCTGTCCAAAAACCAAATTAAATCATATCTTTGCTATTATTCACCAATTATTTGATTTAATTCAATTTTTAATTAATAAAAAATCAAAATAAATTGAAAAATGAAGCAAATAATGTGTGAGTGAATATTTGGATCGTGGACCATATTATAAGTAAGGTGCAAGTATAAAAAGTTAGGCCCATTTGGCAAAAAATGTAATTTTGAGCCTATTTGACTTTTGACAATTTTGCAAAAAAGGTCAACTTTGACAAGGCATATCTCCTCCAATTTTAACCCTAGAGAGGTGTTCTTGGACTTTTTAGAAAGCTTAGGATGTCCCAAAGCAACCCTTTTGGCCTCATATCAATTGAGTCTTCCATTTTCATGTAAAAATCTTTGACCCAAAATGTGTTTTTGTTGACTTTTCAAAAGGACCCATAATGTAGAAATTCATATCTTTTTGTGGATGCATATTTTGAACTTGTGGGATGAAGATGAATTGTAGGGAATTGAATCCTATTAAAAATGAGCCTTGGATGGAAAATTTATGATGAAGCATGTGGAAGTTATGCTTGGTCAAAATTTGGTTGACTTTTACTAAGAAACACTAATTTAGCAACTTTTGGATTTTGATGAATTTGGAGCATTCATTGGGGAATCATGATCAACCCTTGATCAAATGATAAAAGTCACTTAAAAATGTTAATATTGACCAAAAATCTTGAAGTTTGACTATATGTGGGTCACAATTGACTTTTGACCTAATACAGTCGATTCTCAAGCATCTGAGCAGTTGATTGAGCAAACCTCTTGTGCAAGGCATGGAACTTGACATGTAGGGTCTTGAGAACATATTAAGATCATGGAGAGCATATGAGGCCTTTGTGAGTTCACCTATCTTGATGAAAATGAAAACCCTAATTTGAGACACACTGCCTTAGGAGAGAGTTTGTCTGGTCAACTCTTGGGCAAACTTGAGCAAATTAAGGATCTCTAGGAGTATGTATTGAGTAAAATGAGAGGGCAAATTTTGGGGTACAACACTTGTATATTATTGTTCTTTATATTATTTTGGTTTTGTAACACATTGTTTGTATATTATTGACATTTTAGTTTAATATTTCGTTAGATGAAAATTAGTATTGCATTAATGCATGATGGATAAGCTTAACATGAAAATTGATTAACATATCTTCACAAGAAAATAACATGCATAAAACTTAAACAATATTGGATGATTCAAGACGCTTCAGCATCTTGATAATATCGTCGATAGATCTCGCAAATATCGCATCCACCTTGATCAAACACTTTATTTTGTATCAGTGATATATCAGTCTTCAACTCAAAGTTGCTAAACTTCACCTTTTCTTCAGTATTAGTCGATAGTGAGTGGTAATCAATCTTAACCACATATCTATTGACGGCGTGGTGCAAGAGATTATCTAGTTTAAATTTTAGAACAATGAGAAGGGTGTTCTCTTTGAGCCTCAAATCAACAGGAGGTTTCACGCCATTGAAGTACACAAATGTAAGATACCGAAATTGGGACATTGTAAGATATTTTTGTTAACAACATATAGTGTATATTTATACAAATTTGAAATCATTATGTACCACACAAAACTGTCACTGCAATCACAAATTCTACAAAAGTGTTGAAAAAATCTCAACCGTTGAAAATTAACACTACTGTATTTTTCAAAGACAAAAGTCGATAAAATTTATCAAATACCGAATTCTTTCAAAATATCATTAAAAATACATATCAGATTTTTTCAACACAACGTTGAAAAATTTTGAGGTGTCAGATAAAACTCAAGAGGGTGTAAAATAAATTCTCTAAAATAAGCTTCTTTTTTGGATGTGTTTTGTTTTAAAAGGATTAATTTTTGGAAAGTAATTAAAAAAACTGAAAAATACAAAGTAAATAAATAAAATAAAACTTGAATGAATTTACGAAGTGCAAATTATAATCGTTCAGGTTTGATTCTTCATGCTTGAAGCGCCATAGTAGTAGTAACGTGTGTTGAGACGAGAGCTTTGAAGGAAACAAAAAATGATGTCAAATCGCTCAATAACCAAAACCTTAAACCCATCTATTGTTTCTAGGTCTATTCGAATGTACACAACAGAAACCCGTATTGGTTTCTCAGCATTGGAAAACCGCATACTCAAGAGCGGTGACCCAAAAACTTCCATGGTTCCTATTCTCAACCAATGGATTGAGCAAGGTAGAGACGTTCCTCAACCTGTTCTCAAGCGTATCATCACTCGTCTCGCCAATTATCGTCGCTACACTCATGCCCTTCAGGTATAACTTTCAAAGTTTCAATCTTTTTTCTTTTTCTGAAATTGAACTGATTGAGAGCATTAATTGCAATTTTAGTTGGGTCTGTTTTTCTTTTCTTTTTTTTTGTTTCATTTTCTGATTTGGAGTTTAGTTGCAAAAATGTCATTTTTTTCACTTTGTTTGTAATAAAGGTTTTTGTTACTCTGTATATAAATAATGAAAATAAGTTGATGTAGTAAGACTTGTGATGTCTAACGGGATATAATGTTGGGTGGTTAAGAATCAGCGCGGAAATAAAACAAGTGTAGCATAAATGAGGATGTTGCGTTGATATAGATGAGACGAGGATGTTGCGTTGTGTAGCATAGATGAGGATGTTGCGTTGGTTGTGTGGTAAGTTATACAAGATAAAATCAGAAATGACAATATTAGATGGAGTATTGGGTAGCACCTATAGTAAAAAAGATGGTCGAAAATAGGTTTAGGTGATTTGAATATGTAGCAAGAAGACATGTAGATTATATGGTAAGGAAAGTAGATCAGATAGAAAGAAGTCAAACAACTAAAGATAGAGGAGAACACAGAAAAACTATGAGAAAAATTATTAAGAAAGATATCGAGATTAACAATTTGGGTAAAAACATGGTTTAAGATATAATATTATGGTGGAATTGATCCATATAGTCGACTCCAAATAGTGGAATAATGCTTGGTTGTTGTTGTTGTTGTCGTACTTGACTCGGTGTTATCAAATATCTGCAATTGTGACGCTATGGCGGTTTTTGGGCTCGGCACAATGATAAGTATCGGCCAATATTGCGGGGTTTTCCGCCATAATCCACTATAAGGGCACCACAAAGTGTTTGGTATGGCGGGATTATGGACCGCCATCCGCCACGACAACACTTCCTTGAGTGTGCTCTATATGAAGGCTGCAGTTCATTTTTAGATACTAATTTGATTTGATGGCGAAATCATATTCAAGGACTATATATGTCATTTTCATCGTTCAACCGGTATTTTTAATGATGTCATATCTTTCATGGACTAATTAGTTTTAATCATATCATTATCAAAACATTCTGTTAGGTATCGGAATGGATGGGCGATAAGATTAACAATGATTTATATCCCGGAGACATTGCTAAGCGGCTCAACCTGATATCTAAAGTTCATGGTCTAGAACAAGCAGAGCAATTTTTCAAAGACATCCCTGAAGCTAAAATTGGGTTCAAGGTCTATGCTGCTCTTTTGAGCTGCTATGCTGAACATAAATCTTTGGAAGAAGCAGAGGCTATCATGAAGAAAATTAAGGAGTTGCGTCCGGTGCACTTGACAGTGTGTTATAATATGATGTTAAAACTATATGCTCAGAAAGGTAAATCTGAAAAATTGGACAGGTTGATGCAAGAAATGAAAGAGAAGGACATCTGCAACGGTGCTACGTTTACCATTAGGTTGAATGCTTACGCAATTTCTAAAGACATAGAGGGGATGGAGAAGCTGCTAATGCAAATGGAAGCAGATCCCATAGCAACTGTGGATTGGTATACGTATGCTACAGTAGCAAATGGTTATATGAAAGCTGGGAATGTTGAGAAGGCCTCGTTAATGTTGAAGAAATCAGAAAATTTAGTTAATGGTCAGAATAGGAGGATTGCGTATGAATCTCTTCAAACTATGCACGCTGCGATTGGAAACAAGGACGAGGTATATCGACTTTGGAATAGGTGTAAGAATCTTAGGAATTCTCTCAACTCAAGTTACTTATGCATGCTAAGTTCATTAGTGAAACTTGATGACATAGAAGGCGTAGAGAAGATTTTGCAAGAATGGGAATCTGGACATACGAGTTACGATGTCAGAATTTCAAATATGATGATCACTGCTTACTGTAAATGGGGTCTTGTCGATAAGGCTGAGGCATATATCAAGAAACTTTTGGATAACGGCAAGGTATTAGATGGAAGTACATGGGACCGTATGTCATCTGCATATCACAGTGATAATGATATGGAAAAAGCAGTTCAAACATTGAAGAAAGCAACGCTGGGAAGTCGACGAGGATGGAAGCCTAGCGCTGTGACTTTGAGTGCTTGTATCAAGTACTTGAAAGAAAAAGTTGATGTGGAACAAGCCTTTGAGATTCTGAAATTATTTAAAGAAAAGGGTCATATCTCAGACACCGCCTATGATAGACTAGTAAGTTATGTTCACGGTGAAATACCTGATACAGAAGCCTTTGATTTGATTAAACAAGATTTAAAATATGAGAAGGTTCAACTTCATGATGAAGAAAACTAATGGTTCAATGTAAAAGATGCTTGCGTAGGATGTGTTCAAATATTTTACAAAAAAGAGTAAATTCCTTTGTCCTAGCTTGTAGCTCTGGTTATTTATTTTCCTTCTGTTTAAGAGACTTTGTTGCCCTTTCATTGTCATCATATGCTACTCAATATTAAGGTTTAATTGTAATTTTGGTCTCTCTATTTCTAATTTTACTTGAGACTTTTAAATCTCAAGCACGTTTCTTACCGTCCAACTAGTGAAGTTTATTGTAAAATTTGTTGCAATAGATATATATATTTTCAAAATACACCATAAGACTTCTCCACAACTATCTTGCATTCTAATTTCAGTTTTAGGTTTATGTTCAACTAAATTGGTCCTATTTTTTAATATAATAAATTCTATTAACAACATGTGTTACTAAAATCCAACACGTACATATATTAATTAAAAGGGGTTTAAAATCTCAAAATAAACTAAATTTACAGACAAAAGATCTGAATTTTAAAATGAAAAGATCAAAATTAAAAAAATTTAAAAATAAGAGGACTAAAATTGCAATTAAGTCCAATATTAATTAAATCAAGAGCAGTATACGTACAAGCGAGTTGGACATTTAAATTTTGATATCCGGTCTTGCGATCTATATAAACTTGACTCATCACAAAAATTATTTGCAATTAACAGAATTCGAACACGAGACCTCAAAATTATTTGCACCAATCAGAATTCAAGCACGAGACCTTAAGAAAAACATAATTTCAAAATTCAAATATTCACCACTACACCAACCTCTAGAATTAATACATTTTAATTTTAAATCTTAAGTTTATGAGTACGCTAACATTTACTTTTCAAAACAATATTGCAACTTTAACTCATACAAATATATTATCTGTAATATATTATACTAATCAAAACTATAATAGATTAGGGACCGAAATGAAACCATGAATAAATATAAGGGACAAAAGATATACAATAAACCTCTTTTGACTCATGGTGTGAGAAAGTATGTTTCTATGATAAGGTTGATAAAAAGAAGGAAAAAATTAGGGACCGAAATGAAACCATGAATAAATATAAGGGACAAAAGATATACAATAAACCTCTTTTGACTCATGGTGTGAGAAAGTATGTTTCTATGATAAGGTTGATAAAAAGAAGGAATAAATAATGGGAAATGCTCTTTCCAATTTTATGTGTATATCACATTTTTTTAAAATTCGAAATTACTTTTTTTATATGTTCGTAAATGTATTTTCAAATTCAAAGATATATCTCTAAACATTGTTTGAAAATGTATCTCCGTATACTATTTTAGTGAATTTTTTTATTTATACCGGTTAAATTTAACATATATTATGTTGACTGTTTCAGTAAATACTTTTGAGGTCTTCTAATATTCCCTTCTATTCTTTCCATGTGAATTATTTGTTTTTGATGGGAAAGTTTCAAGCTCCCATAATTTTGCCATGCATACACTTTTCCTAACATATACTTGTTATTACTAGAACTGTAACATGTTTCTTTTGTTTTCTGCAAACTCACAACCACTAATACCTGAAAACTTGTCATCATCCATGGAGGTGGATGTCTCATCCAGTAATATTCAAGAGGATAATGAGTCCAAATACGTCACAACTATGCAATATCAAGGTAATGAATACCCAGTGGTGCATACTTCTCCGAACAACAATTTAGGTTTTATGTCTCCAATGTTAAATTACAGTGTATTAGTTATCTGTATAATTGTGTGTTTTTGATGTGTCTAAAAATGCATCTTCGGATTCTAGAGACATTTAAGACTTTTCACGGTGGTGGGAGAGAACACATAAGAGTGGAAAGAACAATTCCCAAAAAAATGATGTTGGTTCTATGGGAGGGTGTTTTTTTAACACACCATTGGTGTTGATGTTTATTATGTCTCAACTTTATTGAGCCTCCACATTTTTTTTTTAAATTCGCACATGATGGGTATAAAGACTTGACAGTCTATACAATTCTTACTGGTTTTAAAACCCTTTCCACCTTTCGAGAGGCTATAGATAGCATGTAGAAAGATAAGTGGGTGGATGCAATGATGGAGGAGGCGGATTCCTTGAATAAAAAACATACATGAGAGTTTGTTCAGCTTTCTAAGGGGAAAAAGTTCATCAGTTGTAAGTGAGTGTTCAAGAAAAAATCAGCAGTAACAGAAAAAGAAGTTGAAAAATTCAAGGCTTGTCTTGCAGCAAAGGGATACTCACAACAGAAGGGGATTAACCGTGATGAAATTTTCTCTTCGATCGTTAGAGGGGGTCATCTGCTCTAAATGTAGCCAACCAAGACATGCATTTAGAGAAGATGAATGTGAAGACACCATTTATTCACAGTAATCTAGATGAATAAATTTATATGGAGCAACCAGAGGGGTTCAAACAATGGACATGCCAGACTAGTTTGTAAATTGAAGATGTCTTTGTATGATTTAGAGTAGTATCCAAAGCAATAGTACAAATGATTTGATTCATACATGCTTCTGATTGACTATATAAAGTGTGAGTATGACTATTATGTTTATTTTAGACACCTTGATAATTTTTGTTACTGTATATTGATGATATATTTATTTCTTCTAATCATTTACATGATGTAAATGAGCTAAAAATCATGTTGGAAAAGTATTTTGACATAAAAGACTTAGGTGTTGCTAAAAAGATTATTGGTATGAAAATTAACATGAATATGAGTGCTAGAAAATTATGGCTCTCGTAAAAACTATGTTGAAAATGTGTTAGACAAGTTTGACATGAGTAATTTGAAGGTTGAGAGTACTCCATTGGTAAATCACTTTAAGCTCTCATTGGATCAATATTCAAAGACAAACACAAAAGATGAGTATATGTCAAAGTTTTATTATGTCAATGATGTTGGTTGTTTAATGTATGTTATGCTCTTCACTAGACTAGATTAGGCACAAGCTATAAGCCAAGTTTGTAAATTTATATCCAAACTGAAAAATGTCATTAGGAAGCAGTCAAGTGGATTTTCAGGTACTTTAAAGGTACAATGAGTTATGGTATCTGTAATACAGTGGGTGAACTGACTTGTTTTGCATTTTATCGCAAATGTTGCGGATAGCAAGAGTCGCCACCGACTTTTATTTTATCCAATAAGGAAAGGGTGAAAAGAACAAGAAAGACCTTGAAGATTTTGAGTTTGAAGGGTAGGTTATGAAAAGGAAAGGTGTTAGCACCCTTTTCATCCGCAGTTATCTACGGGATCTTAATCGCTTAACTCACTTTGAAAATCTTGCTTTGTGTGTGTGATTTGAAAATATTTTGAAAAGTCAATGTAAGGCTAACTTTGCAATGATTGTTGTATCAGTCCTCAAGAATGCGTACAAAGTGTTTTTTTTTAATATTTTGAAAGTGTTGTGTAAAATATTTTGATTTGAAAAGATTTGTGAGCAAGCAATTAACAGTATCCCACCCACTAATGGTCATTCTCGTACTTTTCCTTTTCCTTTAGAGACAGTTCTATTCATACCATTAGTTGGTAGGTAGCCTCATCTATTGGATGTGAAGGGACAACGTAGGGTCATCGTACGGTCATTGAAGGCAACTTGTAAGAATGCTCTAGCAATTTCGTAAGGGACTAGGTCATTTTTTGAAAGGCAGCGTCGAAGGGTCATTGAGGGACTGTGATATTTTGTATCGAGGGTCTTTTGCTAAAGCGTCCCCACTTTCGAGGGGCATGACCGTGGTTTTTCCGAAGGCAACAAAGGGAATTACCCTAGAGGTGGAAGTGTGCAAGTGTGTTTGTTTCAGTTATGCTTATCTTGAAATTAGGGTTTTTTAGCGTTCATTTTTTATTATTAGTCTTTCCATGCAAACCCTAATTACTAACAGTAATATAGTAAATATAGTAGCAGAAAAAATAAAGTGCGAAAACATAAACCTAGAATATTACAATGCTTTGGGGCAGATACATAATAAAGGTACGAAAAAGAAAATCCTAAGCTATTACATTCCGGAAGCAATTACATGATAATAAAAGAGAAAACATAAAATAAAAGTCTAGGCTATTACATTCGCGAAACCTATACGACTTGATCTATGAATTTAAAATAAGAAAAAAAGCATGTTTTTTTGGTGATTTTGTTGTGAAAAATGATTTATGATAATTAATTAAATAAACCTAAAAATCTAATTAATTTTAATTGAAAAAGAGTTAATTAATTAAATTAATAAAATGTTAATAAAACCTAAAACCTAATTAATTTTAGTATATATATATAAAAAAAGATTAATAAAAAAAGGTTAATTAAAAAAACCTCAAACCTAATTAATTAGGTTTTTTTTTAAAAAAGGTTTACTAAAATAAATCAGGTTAGCCAAAAATAAGATTAGAGGAAGAAAAATCAAGGAAAAGGGTTAAAAACAAAAAAAATGATGAAAATTGGCAAGGGTGGGTGTTGAATCCACGCCCTTAAGGCCAAACACTTGCTTGTGATAGTAGAATGTGCGTTGCATAAAATGTAGTAAAACTGTAAATTGTAAAAAACATTAAAAAAACACAAAAGGCTGAGATCGAACTCACATCCTAAGAGAGTAAAGCCTTATCATGCGCGCGTTTGCCATTGGGTAATGTTGTTCATCTGGTATATCGACAAAAATAGTTAGATAAATAATAAAATAAATCACTAGGCTAGAGAAGCGCTGGAGCCGTAGCTCCGACCATCTTCTCCGACGAGCTCGTTCTTCGTTCCTGCAAAAATAAGAGAAGTCAGTGGTTTAGAGGTATCCTACCCCCTAATTTGGGACTTGCGATTTCAATGGAGGCACTGATTTTGGCTAATTCCCTCTGTATAAAGAGATACGACGTAAACAAGATCAAACGGTGCAAACATGACAAACCATGATTCAGTCGTCATGGGGGCCATACGATGGGTCTGACCTGCGTTATTATACCTCAGAAGAACGTTAGTGGTGTTAGTATGCATTAAAACAACATGAAAATGACAATACAAA